CCGCATCCTTCCACAAGTTCCTTGGCAAAAAATGTAAATGGCTCTCCTTCCATCAAGAGCAAGTCCAGGGATGCCCAGGGACACACGGATGGAAAAGGTCAGAGTTGTTCAGCAGGACAGGACCAGGGTGACGAGAAGACTCGCAGCAGCCTTGGAAACCGTCACAGACCTCCTGGGCTCTAGGCAGGGTGAATGCAGGACAGTGCCAGACACACTGGGGGGTCCCAAGGACACAGGACACTCGATGCTAAGACCCAAGAACGTCCAACCAGGATGATTTGGTCGACTCTGCCCCAGGACATTTGGTATCTGCCCCATTGGAAGCAGACAGGGAACCCAGCCGGGGTCAACCAAGGAGCCCTCCCCGTAGGAGCCCTTCTTGTCCAATACCCACATGTTCTTATGCACCAGCCTGGCGATGCCAAATGCAGAGCTCCTTGTGACTCGGGCCATCTTTGGGCCCTCTTGAGCCACGGACATGTCCCCCAGACTCTGGGAAGAGTCAAGCAGAGAACAGAAACTCCAAACTGCACACTGGCTACTTGGTATGAGCGTGGACAATTCACCCCCAGCTTCTGAGCCTCGGTTTCTTCATCTGTAAATAGGGACCACAAAAAAAATGGCTGCTTCCTAGGGTTAGTGTTGGGATGAAGTGAGTTGAAAACCCAGCAGAGCCTAGAGCCCGTGGGACAGACACCCCGTCTCTTGGGGCTGTGCGTTAAAATCTCTGAACCTGAATGTTACCCATAATGATTTATGAGTATTTTCAACCCTGGCTCAGGGTGGACCCTGGACCAGCAGGTGCTGGCTAGAAGTGCTGAGTCTCATGACAGCAGGGGACGGCAAGATGGGACGGATCCCAGGATTTGGGAGACGCATGCTCTGGCCCCGCGGTTGCTCCTGGGCTACACGTTCCAATTCCCCAGCTTCCATCCCCAGATGCAGAGGGACTCATCAGGACAGCTTTTAAAGAAACCCTGGTCCTCACAGAAAAATAAAAACCCACCTGCTTTCATTTAGAGGAGGAAGTAAAAAAATAGAAAATAAAGTTGATATCTTAGAATTAGAGATATCAAGGGCTGGAAGGGATTGGAGGAGGAGGGTGGAGAGAGAATGGGTGAAGGGCTGGGTGCAGGGGACAGGAGGAGTGACCGCTGGTGTTCCATAGCACAGTGGGGTGACTGTGGTGGGCAACCATTAACCCTATCTTTCAAAACACCTCGTAAAGAAGGTTTTCCCAGCACCGAAACGCGAGGTATTTGAGGCGACAGACATGTCTATCTCCCTGGTGTGACCATGGTACCTTGCATGCACATATTGACAAGTCACACTGTCTCCCATCAGTCTGTACGATTATTCTGTGTTCATGAAAGTTTTAAATCAATTAATTTTTTTTAAATTAAAGCAACATGTAAATCGGGATGTCCAGATGGATTAGATCGGCTCTGGGGCTGGGGCCCAGGTAGCCAGAGTTTAAAGATGCCCCAAGCCATTCTAAACCTGAGACTCGCTGTTCTAGTCTAGACCGGATTCTAGAATCTTCTGGGGGCTCAGTTTCCTTCTAAGTTGGAGTCGTCCGACTAAGGACCTTAAAAATAATTAAAACAAAAATAAAAGTCTCATTACGTAAAATTCTGTACCATTAGCAAGCACCGCAATGACCTTGACGTTCACCTCCACACTCCAACACTCATAACTTCCCCAAAGAAGAAAACCGGTACCCTTTAAACTCTCTCCCCTCCACCTCCCCCAGCCCCGGTGACACCAATCTGCTCTCTATCTCTGAGAATTTTCTTGTTGTGGACATTTTTCGTTGAAACAGAGCCCCAGGGTCCACGGCCGCCCACCCGCCCACCTCTGGCTGGCTGTCACTTAGCCCAGCCGCCGCCTGCATCTGCACCGGGTTTCTCTGATGTCCCTCTCAGACACCCGTGGGCAGTGCATCGAAACCGGGATGCACCCCCCGCCCAGGCTTAATGACATCCCTGGGCCTCGAGAACCGTGTGGCTCTCCTGACACCTGTCACAGGCCTCCCCCCGTCCCCCCACCCCCGGTCCCCTGTCAGCCTCCATTAGGGAGGACCAGTGTAAGATGGCACGTGCCTGTCCTGCTCAGCCCCGCTCAGCCTCTACGGGGGACAGCCCTGACACTTCCTTTTCATGGTGGGGAATCTGCAGCCCCCGGGGCAGCTGCAAGGTCCTGATGAGGCCCCACAGGGCCGGAAGCTGAGAAGAGGGGGTGGCTTCACTCTGTCTTCACCTGCCCTAGATGCAAACTGGGAGGAAACAGAGCAGGCCATTCCCAGGCCACTCAGGAAACCAGGTCTAGTTCAGAAGTCCACCCCTGCACCCCCAAAACCACACAGCAAGTGCCAACAGGTTCCATGGAAAACAGACCCAGGGCTCTATTAAGTTTGAGAGTCAGCGACTCGCAGCTCCCCCTTTTGGAGATGGTCCAAGCAAGTTTACAAATTAGAGGCTCTGAGAAGTCCCACAAGGGGAAAAAATGAGTCATTTACTAGATCCATTTCACCTGCAAATGCACCTTAGAGGTCCCTACACATATTGGATTTTTGTTGCTGCTGTTGTTCAATGAATGTCTGTTAAGGAGCTATCAAATGATGGGTGAAATCTGAAGGATTGCCCATGTGGTAGTGGAAAAGATCCTTATGACGCTGTACCCAAAGCATGTGCATCCTCCTAGGTGGAGAGAGATAATAAACTTAATAAGTGATCAAGAACAGCAGCCCCTGAAACCTACTCTCTCAGTGCCAGAGACCTCTTGATTCAGACCTTGCAGTCCCCTGCCTCAGGAGCTGACACCTCCCTCTGTGATTTTCCACAATACTATGGTTCATTCCAGAAGTCATTAACAGTGTGACAGCCCCCAGATAATCAGCTTGAACTTTTACAATCCCTTGGACGGCCAAGGTGCCAGGTTCTGTGTCTGGTTTTCCCGGGCACCTTTGCAAGTTCTGAGAAAGAAAAGGAGTCTTTATACTTCTCTCTCCGCCTGACTCCTGTTATGTGAAGTCCAAAGACGCAATTGCCTTCGGCCACTCTGGATGGAATTACAATGAATCTTGATGACATATGGCCTCATCCTTGGAGCCCCCAGACCTACCAAAGCAGAGCTACAGACGTGGAGCTTGTTTTAGGGTGGAGCTACGGGGATAGAACCCAGGAGCACTTAACCACCCAGCCCCATCCCCAGCCCTTTTTTTAATATTTTGAGTCAGGGTCTCACTGAGTTACTTAGGGCCTCACTGAGTTGCTGAGGCTGGCTTTGACTCATGATCCTCCTGCCTCAGCCTCCAGAGCTGCTGGGATTACAGGAGTGAGCCACGGCGCCCAGTTGAAATCCCCATTTTTGCAAGCATTCCAGGTGATTTTTATGCAAGATCGAGTCTGACATCCTGCAGCCTACGGTTATCTATTTTTGCTTTTTAGCATCTGGGATTAAACCCCAGGTCCAAACTCTCCTAGTTCTGTGACCTTGGGAAAATCACTTATCCTCTTTCCACCTCCATTTCCTCATCTCTAAAATGGGAATGATAATGGTGACTACTTCAAAGAGTTATCATGAGCATTGACGAGATTTTTCTTCAGAAGACATGTATCCCAGAAGGGATTCCTACCATGATGACCAAGAGCACAGAGCTTGTCTATCAAGCTGCATCTCAAAGGAGGCTCCTTCCCGGTCTCCAACCCCAATTCCAACGCTCTCCTCCTGTCTCGTCCCTCCACTCCTTGCAGGGCCTCTTGCAAACCCAGCTCACTTGCTAAACACAATAGGCATTTCTCTTTCCTCCCAGGCCCATGCCTGGACTACATTTCCCAGCCTCCTTTGCAGTCGGAGCTCTGATCAATGGGTGGTGGATGGAAGGAAGGTACAGCCCTGCAAACCCTGGTCCATAGAACCCTCCTGCCCAGACTTACACTCTTCCCCATCCACCTTCCTGGTGTCAAATCCAGGGCCACGTGGCTGCTCCATATTGGAGGTGGTGGAGCCTTGGTCCTGCATTCCACAAGGACCCCAAGGGGCTGAGTCCTGGTCCCCACCTCCAATTGTACATCCCCGTCTCTGGAGATCTCCTCCTGAGCTCCCAGCTTCTCCCCACCATCCTTACCTCTGCAGCTCTGTGGGCTTTGGGGTCTGAGTCCCCCTTTGTTGGTGGGCAGGCTGGGGCTGTGCACTGCAGGACTCTCTGTAGGACCTGTGCAGCATCTTGGGCATCTAAACTCGACTAGAAAAACTCCCACCTCCCAATTGTGGCAACCCATATTGCCTCCTGGGGTTGCCAAGTGCCTGTGGGGGCCAGGGAGAGAGAAGGAGAACCCCCTCCCAGTTGAGGCTCACTGTTCTACACAAATGTCGCCTTCTCAAGAGTCTTTCCCTGGCCACCAATCTCAGATTATCCCCTGGGCTCATCCATATGCCCTAGAATCTCGCCAGGTTGGCCATAGTTCACACAGCTCAGCGCACGCTGGATGTGATGATGAAAGGGTTTCCTTGGCTACTGGCTGCGGCCCCTGCTGGGCCAGGAGCCCCACAGTGATAAGCAGGGTCTGGTCACTTTGCTCTCTGCTTTGCCTCTCACACCCAGCCCAGCGCCCGCTCCACTCCTGGTCGGGGGGTTGCAGAAATATTTGCTGCATGAGGGGACCTGGGTACCAGCGTTGGGAGACAGGGAGGGGAGGATTAGAACTCGGGGGAGGGGCTGCCCGGCCGGGCTCCCAATGAGCTGAGTGATTCAGAGAGAAGAGAGCGATTCAAGCAAGTGGGGAGAAGGGTAAAGACCAACTCTGCAGGCTGTGGGCCTGTGGGAGACATGATCACCACTGCTCCATCCATAGCAGCTCCCAGCGGAGTCCAGGCTGAGCCTCTGTAGAGGCCACCGGCCTTCAAGGACCAGCCACCAGCAAGCTGCTGAGCCACGGACCCTCACAAACACATGTGGGGTTTTCAGCCTCACTGCGCTTGAACAAATAACAAAGAGTCTGCGAATATTCTCGCTGTTCTGATGTTTTGTAATGATCAGAACAGGGTAAACATTCGCTATATTAAGCCCACGTCTGTGTCCCCAGACCTCCTTCTTTCCCTGGGTCTGGTTTTCTAGATGCTGGTGAGAAACCCAAACATGTAAACAAATCAGGGAAACTCTGTTACCATCAGGGGCCGCGAAATGTATTGTAAAATTACTGTTCAAATAAAAAATAAGTAACAGAGAGTCCGTGGAATGCACCGGCTGCCACTCTGAATTCTTGCTTGATGTGGCTTCTATCAACTGCCAGTTGAATAGGAAAAGAAGCTCTCTCTCTCTCTCTCTCCGTTTTAAAAGTGATAATCTGCCTGCCAATTAATCTGTCCCTTCTTAGCCCCTCTCCTGACATTCCCAGACCACCTAGAAGCAGCCAAGGAAAGCCCCAGAGCGTAGAGATGGTTCAACTGTCCAAGCATCCCGGACCACCTGCAGGTCCATGTTGGGGTACTATTTTCCTGTTTCTTTGAGCAAAAGGGAAAATAAAAGTAAAAGAAATGAGGAAAGCAAACAAGCTTATAAAAACCAAAGCTAAAAATAAATGAATACATTAGAAAGACGGCTGTGAAACGAAATTAAATCAAAATGTGCTGCTGCGCGATGTTTTTCCAGAGTCTCCAACTTGACAAATGGGTGAGTCTTCATGGCATCCATCAAGAAAGAGGGAGATTTTTCTCTTCTCCTGCCTTCCCACCAGTGCCCGGGGCTCAGATCAGACCCTGGTGGAAACAAAAGCATCCCCAGTTCCAGATACGGTGGGCGGCGTGGCTCCCAGGAAGTCCTTCCTCCAGTGAAAAACTCTGGGACGTCCACCCTGGTGGCCCTGCTCTGTCCCCTGCACCTACAAGGCACAGCCAGCTCCACCCTAGGACCGCCCTTCTCATAGGTGACAACAGGGTGTGACTTTGTCTGCAGGCTGAAAACCGCCAGTTCCTTCCTCCATTCTGGAAGGGAAGCCACTTGGGGGCTTGGTCCAGCAGCTTGTTAGGAATGCAGATTTCCAGGCCCCACCCCAGACCTACTGAGTCCAAAACTCTGAGAGTGAAGCCCCACTGTGTGTTTCCACCAGCCCTCTGCAGCTCTGGTGGCCAGCCACGTCTGAGCAGCCCTTCCTCCCATTAAGACAGATCTCAGCAAGTTGTTTTATCCTTGGTGCCAAGGTTCAGCTGTGATTCGAGTGTGTCCTCCGAGGGTTTGTGCTGGGAACTTGGTCCTCAGTATGGCAATGTAAAGAGGTGGCGGGACCTTCAAGAGGTGGCTCCTCTCCTGTCTTGCTCCAGCCTCCCGAAATCACCATGTGACCTCTGTCTCCTGTGACTGCTCCCCCACAATGCTGTGTCATGGAACCAGGACCGGCACCATGGCCTTTGGACTTTCAGCTTTCACAACTATGAGCTAAACAAACCTCTTTCCTTTATAAGATACCCAGCCTCAGATAACTCATTATAGTAACAGAAGACAGACAAATACACCCTGTCTCAGTTTCCCCTCTATAAAATGGAGCTACCAAAAGTATTCACATCACTGAGTGATTAAGGAACCAAGGCGATATGATGTGACAGGGGTTTTTGGAAGCCTGGGAAGGTCAGGAAAAGGCAGCAGTAATTACTGATGCTAGCCCTATTTATGAAGGTTTGGTGGAGACAGACAGGATGTGTCCTAGACTTGTGTACAGCTCTACTTAGATTCACCTGCTCAGAAGGGGAGAGAGTTAGAAAGCCCCGCAGGGACTCGAAGTGACTCCCAGGGAGCACCTAGAAGCTCCCAACCCTGCCTGCGGCTGAGACTCAGGCAAGGCCTGGTTATTCTCACCTCCTTCTTTAACAGGCCTCCTGAGCATGCCAAGGGACAGCCCCTGCTGGGAGTTGAGCCAGGGAGCTTGGGTTAAGGGGACAGGGGGCTGAAGCCCTCCACAAGAGAAGATTCTTGTCTGGGTTCCTTGTCACCAATACCCCCCACTGAGACGTCTAGCTCTGCTACACAGTAAGACCACCCTCCCCGTCGGCCACTGAGCACCAGATATGCAGCTAGACCAACTGAGACGGGCTGCTGAGAGTATAAGACACACATGGGTTTTAAAACTTAGCATGAAATAAAAGACGAGCACATAAAAGACTCTAATATGTCGCATTATTAATATTTGAGGGCTGGGGTACAGATCAATGGCAGATGGTGCTCAGCATGCATGAGGCCCTGGGTTCAATTCCTAGAACCGAAACCAGCATTTACCAGCTAAGAGGGGCCTGGAGCATGGGAGGTGGGGTAGGGAGAGGAGATAAATGTCCTGCCACTTTCACTATGGGCCTCCCATCCCCAAACCAAGCCCACAGCCAAAGGGCAGAGGCATCTCCAAAAGATCCCACCTGCAAAAAGAAGTCCCCTACTAAAAATGTCTCCCCAACGTTTTCAGCAGAACTGTGTTGCTCTATAGAAGCTCCATTCAGAGGCGCGGGGGGGGGGGGGCATCTGCAGGCATGAAAAGAGAATCTGCTTCAGTGCCTTGAGCTCCACACAGTAGGATCCCTCCAAGTGTGAGAGTCCCAAATCATTTGCACTTGAGTCACTCAGATACATGGTGAGAAGGCAGATTACCAGTCTGTATCTCAGACTTTCTAAACAAAAAAATCTGTGAGGAAAAATATCAACCACTCATATCACAACAAGATTTCCTAATAAGTAAAGAGCTCCTACAAATCAATAAAAAGATGTCCCAGTGGTCAAAGGAAATGGACACAGGGCTCACAGAAAGGAAAATGCAAATGGCTCATAATTTTATGAGAACACACTCAACCTCAGAACAAGAAGGCTCATAAAAGTTGGGGAAAGAGCATCTCAGACATTACCATGAAGGTCCGTTTGACAATACTATGTAAATGTAAAAGGTACAAGCCCTCTGACCCAGCACTTACAATTCCACTCTAGGTATGCAATGTCTGTATAAAAAATGTATTCACTGAAGCTGCATTTGTCACAGCAAAAGAGTGCAGACAACCTCAGTGGCTGGGAGACCAACTAAACAAAATAGGGACCATTTCACAGTTAAATACTAGGAGTCCAGGAAAAGGATCAAGACAGCTCTGTAGGTGTTACTAAAAACAGTCTCCATGGATCATGGATAAGAAGGGGGAAAGAACGTGTAGACTAGCATATATAGCAGCTACCACGTGCATGAAATCAGAGAATACTCTTGACATTCATTTGTTATTAACGTTACTGAACACGACCTGGTGCTAGGTGTTTAGCTAGATGCTCAGGATGCTGTGGTCAACAAAACAGACCAAAATCTCAGGGAGCTTTCACACTAAGGGGTGGAAGTATCAAGTACATAGAAGGATAAGTACTTTGAGAAAACACAGTAAGGTAGAAGGGGTATAAGAAATGCCATAGAGAGGGGCGAGGTAAGAAGAGGGCAGGGTTGTGGCTGAACCAAGAAGTCACGGAAGTCCACCCCCAGAAACCAAAAAGGACTTTATGATTTCTTCCACCAATAAAGGACAGTGGAAGTGATATTATGAGACAGGCTAGATCACAGAAAAAAAAAAATAACATGAACTCCATCCATGTTCCGTTGGCTCTTCACCCTGAGAACCCAGCGCCATGCTGTGAGGAAGCCCAAGCAGCCACTTGGAGTCCAGCTGGTGCCTCTGCTGAGGCTTCCGTAGCACCCACCTCCAGAGACCTAGGCCAGTGAGCTTCTCAGTGACTCCAGCCCCCAGACCCCATAGAGCAGGGCCACACCAACCACCATGTCCTGTCCTCAACACTGACCCCCATATGTGTGATACAGTGGTTGCTGCTGGACGTTTCTCAGGTTCGCGTGTTTGTAGAGTGTTTATAACTGAACGGGGACATTTCACGAATGTCCATGATCTGTCTTAGTCTGTGGTCCCCTGGGAGCACAGTGACCAGTTTACACCCTGTGTCCTCTAGGAACCTGGGTCTCCCCTACACACGGGGTCATCTAGCAGAGACTGGCAAGAGGAACAGATACCTCTGCGGAATGTTTCCGAGGGCCGGGTGCTGAGCTGGGCTGCTTCAGTTAATGCACTCCAGCCCCCCCACAGGATGACCCTCACCCCACTTCCCAGATACGGCAACAAGGCCGAGAGAGACAAAGTAGGTTCACCCATGGCTCACCTCATCAGCTCCTACGCAGCGGAGAGAGCGGAAACCCCACCCCGGAGCTGTCCGCGTGGATTCTGTAGCCCACGCCCAGAACCAGGCCACCACCGCCCAAGCAGCCCACCGACGGGAAGATCAGTGCCCAGATGGGTGCCTTCCTGTTGCAATGGCCAGCTCCAAGGAGTGGATGCTCCTTTGCCAAACCTTGCCAGGAGCCCCAGAAGTGGGCTTTCGAGAACCGAGTTCGACTCCTACTCATGAGCCGCTGGAAGCCCTTCCCGGCCTTTCTGGGTAAAACTGTCTTCCTCTGGAAAAAGGCCCCTGCGGACCTGCTGTCTCTTCCCCTCTGGACTGTGAAACCTCATCAGGCTCCGAGTGGGACAAGGGACCATGAGCTGAGCTCCCTCCCCCCCCCTCGTTCCCAAACTGAAGCAGCGCGTTAGACGGCTCCAGTCAACGACCCGAGGAGCAGAGGAGAGGGAACGGGGGGCGCACCCTCACTCGGGCCATCGACCCCCACTTTGGCCTGGAAGGGGTCTCCTACCCTCGGCAGGGGCACGGCTCCTTGAAAAATGGGCCCCGCCCAGGATCTGAATCTTGGCTGTCACTGTTACAGATCTCCAGCTCCTGCCCACAAGACCTGGGAGAGACCTCAGGGGACTGTGACAATGGAGAAAGAAAGGTCCCTTCTCCCTGCAGGAGGAGCTGGGGCCTCCCCTGCCCGCCCACTCTGCTGGAGACGGTCCTCAGCTTGTTCAAGACTAGGGTTAGCAGAATGGGGCCCAAGGGTGACCTCTGGGGTCACGGTGTTGGAACCAAATCCAGTGTCACCACAGGGCCTTGGGAAGACTTCCTACCCAATGCATCTTAATGGTCCCACCTGTGGGGCAGGGACGGTAGTAGGGGGTAGTAGGGGTCGGTGACTACCACCAAGGCCTCTGAGGGTTGGGTCTTGGCTGTGTGGCCTGGGG